ACCACTGAAACGCCAACTACTGAATCAACAACAACTACCACGGAATCACCAAGTACCGAATCAACAACAACTACCACTGAAACACCGACTACAGAATCAACAACAACAACTACTGAAACACTCACCACCGAGTCAACAACAACTACTACTGAGACACCGACTACCCAGTCAACAACCACTACCACTGAAACGCCAACTACTGAATCAACAACAACTACCACGGAATCACCAAGTACCGAATCAACAACAACTACCACTGAAACACCGACTACCGAATCAACAACAACAACTACTGAAGCACTCACTACAGAGTCAACAACAACTACCACGGAATCACCGACTACTGAATCAACAACAACTACTGCTGAAACACCAACTACCGAGTCAACAACAACTACCACTGAGACACCGACTACCGAATCGACAATAACAACTACTGAAACACTCACTACAGAGTCAACAACAACTAGTTCTGAACCGCCAACTACGGAATCAACAACATCTACCACGGAATCACCAACTACCCAGTCAACAACCACTACTACTGAATCACCAACTACTGAATCAACAACAACTACCACGGAATCACTAACTACCGAATCAAGAACAACAACTACTGAAACACTCACTACGGAGTCAACAACAACAACTACTGAAATGCCCACTACAGATTCAACAACAATTAGTGAATCAACAACAACTACCACTGAAAACTCGACTACCGAATCAACGATAAATACTGATGCATTACCTGGAACGACTACCTTTACCTTTACAACAACTACTTCGTTATTACCGGAAACTAGCATTAACGTACGAACAACAGTAGTGTAAGATCTATGTTTGAATATTTTGAGCAAATTATTAAGTCTTTGATTCATTAGAAATTTTCAAGTGTGTGAAATAAGTATCATAAGACCATTTTTATTATCGTTCTGCATTAATAACGTTGGATTTACATGCTAGTTATATCAAATTGAACGATATTTTGGTTGGGTTGTTGATGCCATTATCAACTTTCTTTAGTAATGTGCCGAAAATGCTTGAGAGAAAATTTAATTTAGCACGTTGAAATCAGTTTTTACCTTTGCTACTTTTTAGCTGGTAAAGATGTTTCGAATGTGTTAGTTTCAATGTTTGTAATAGAGTTCAAAGTATGCTCATGGGACAGAACAATATTTTTCTCTGGGGTGAGACAAGACACCTTTTTCTCGAACTGACCGAGCTGAATTTCTATCCTTAGTGTATTTTTGTCAAATGTTGTGCCTATCAGAAGTAGTAGAAATTATAAAAAATGTTTTATGAGAGAAAGTCTATGCAAATTTTATGTACGAGTAGCATGACAAATCATTTTAATGTTATAAATTGTTTGCATCTCTCGTATTCATGCAGAGTTCTATTGTGTATCAGCTGTGCGAAGTACTGTGCATTTCGGATTGATAGAAAAACTGTGTGGAAAGCAGTCTATTGTCAGCGTAAAAGACGCAGAAAATTTCCAGATAAGTTTTTAAACATTTATTAATGGATAAATCATTAGAAATCGCAACAAGTTTTGGTGGAGAGCAATCTTAGGGATTGGGCGCTATTTCCCAAGGAAAAGCATTTTTTTCGAATTTTACTCCGCGCTGAGGTAGCATGTTGTCGAATATAGTCTGTACCCTAAGTACAAAAAGGAAGATTCAGTTTGAGAGGCTTGAAGATCTGGCCGGTTCTTTAGTAACAGCGCGGCCTTGATAATTAGTGTGCTTACAGAAGCTAGTAGAAGGTCGACGGCTACAAGAAAAACCGGAGCCATTCTTAAAGAATCGGCAAAATCTTCAAGTTCTACTAGAGTTAATTGGCATGGGATCGAAATGATGAAGATTTCTACAATCAGAAGATAGAGTTTGATTGTTTCAACGTGAGTTTAATGATGATTCACATAATTCAAAGTTTGTTTTCTTTCACATTTACCTATGAAGGAACGAAGTTCTAGGTGTCCAGACATTGATGAAAATATTCATAAAGCCTTTCTACATAAAACGAAAATATAATCTTGATTGTTTTACTGACACTTTAGAATAGCTTTGCTTTGGTCTTTATATTATCTCATATCCCATTAACTCGAGAAATATTGCCGATGTTTGCAGTGTTCTTTCCTATTGTTTTTTGATTATCAGGTCAATAACAACAGCAGTGTCTACTACACCTGGCTATTCTGAGTCATCTGTAGTTACGCAAAGTATTGAAGAAACGTCAAGTTCAAGCGTTCCGGTTATAACATCGGTACGGATAGCATGAAAAGGGAAACTATCAACATAAACTAGAGAATATTTTGAACATGTTCCTTTTCTTCTGATGAGATGAATTTCTCAAGAAAAACTCAATCTCATAATTATGTTAATTCTTCTTTAGACAACTTCAACTTCTACAACAGAAGAACCTCTTATTCCAATATTTACTTGTGATTTTTCTATGACTTCATGCTTTGAAGGTAGTCAAATTCTTATTACAAATGGAAATGAATTCACTCCAGTCGATATTAGTGAAGCACCTCGAGCTCCTCTTTCTGACGTTACTTCAATAAGTAAGCATTCATTTTTCTTTTTTATTCAAAACATATCTATATACAAAATGAATATTATAGGTGAACTAAAAAATAATAATGAGACATGCAAATTACCTTATCAACCATCAACATATAATAGTACAACTGCAACTACTTCAGATATATGGTTTTGCTACAAGAATCAATGTCTAACTGAAAGCCAACAGTTAGTAAATTGTACATCAGGTAACTTCTATGTGTTATCCAAGGTACCTAAAGTTCAATAAAAGAATCTAACCAAGCTAGGCAAAATCATCTTCTAGAAATGTTTATGATAAGTGCTGGTTCTTCATGGATTCTTTCATGAAGTATCAGTTCTGATAGAATACTTAAATCTGAAATATTTTTCATAATTTGAACTTTCTCGAATGTTATCGAAACAAACTTTGTGAGCTATAAATCGATATTTGTTTTTCTTTAGGAAATTATGGTTTGATCTCTATTGAACCTTGGGAATCAAATAAGACTCTTATTCAGTCGATTAGTCAAGGTGTGATGAGACGTAACTCTGTTGGAGAACAATGTCTTCGATATTATTATTATTTCACTGTTTATAATCAATTTAATTGGGGTCAACGAATTTCAGTATCGATTAGACCTAAAAATGAAATTACTAATGAAATCGAAATCGATCAACTCTCAATTGTCGACATGGTAGAAAATCGTTGGCATCCTAGAAATATAACATTTACTTCAGCATTTACTAACTATACTGTAACGTTTCTTCATAATTAACAATAAGTTGAAATCAATTGCTTAATTGTTTTAGTTGATCTTTTATTTTGAAGTTGCAAATATTAATCGAACCGACCATGCAGCATTAAATAAAACAATTTATTTTGCATTGGATAATATTGATCTCTACAGTCGAAATTGTCAAAGTAAGTAATACAGCATGAAAATTAGAAATGTGAAAAACTAAAAATGATAATTGAATTGTTTTAGATGTGATCGAACCACCTACTAGTCCTATCACTACTTCACCGATTGCATCACAATCTTCAACGATGACAACAACAACGAAAGATACATATGAACTGACAGCTTCTCCTTCAAGTAAGCAACAAATTCTCCCATAGTTTTTTCAACTATCCTTATTTCCTTTTTTAGCAATGTCTAATAATTTGGGTCTCATTCTTGGTCTATCACTTAGTCTTTGCATTATAATTTTGCTTCTTGCCACCGGAGGTGTTTTTTTATCTTGGAGAAAAAACAGGAGCGGTCACTTTGACCTGGAGAAAGAAAATAAAAACGATACTCCGATGGAAATGATATTTTTCAGATCAGCTAGTGATTCTATAAGTGTATAGATGTTCTTTAAATTATTTTTTCATTCTGACAGCCGTTTTTATTATTGTTATTTTTGGTTGTGTCATAAATAAAAATTCGCATATAAACTAACAACTGTTTCATATGAGACGAATAATACTTTGTAATAGATTGATTCATTCATTCTTGCACCTTTGTTTTTTATCATTTTCTATACTTTTTGACCAGATCACATAAGCTATGGATCACTGTAAAAAATTTTGAATAATATGAATGATATACAATAAAACAAAAAATGGAAAAAACTGTTGAATTGTAGTTTGGGTGGATGCTGAGTCATGAATAACGAAGTAAAGTTTACCTTTCATTATGACTCCCACTGCACGAAACCGACTTGTGTCTCTAATCATATTCACGGAAAAAATTTGAATCATAATTGTAATATTTTGGTAGTGACTGCGATTTCTTGTTAATAAAATCATGACCAAGTGAGGTTTGGTAAACCGCAAATGTAAATAACCACGGCTTCAAAATAATTGGGTATGGTAAAAATGATTCGTAGAATTTAAAGTCACGACTTTTCATGGTTTTGCGTATCACGAAATCGTTGTTCTAGATCGTGAACTCTGGATACTGTTGAACATCACGATTCCTTACAGCACGATGAGCACTATCTGAACCTGTTTTTTTTTGACATCGCAGTTTCGATAAAATAGCACTTTTTCAGCACAAGATTTTCTGATTAAAACTGCAACTTGGTTCTCTTTCGTCACGAGAAACAACAGTTGCCACAATAGAAAGTTTACTACATTCAAATAAAATGTGATGATTTAATTGAATAGAATCGCGATGTTGGGATAGATATAGACAATTAAAACATCATTTAGAGGAAAATAAACACATACCGAACAAACTTTAGATGACTTTACTGTTTAGAATAGTTGAATCAACATGTATGAAGTCAGCAAGTAGAATAAGCATTTGAACCTTAAAGAGGAAGTAATTACTCCAGGAAGCGTGAGAAGGTTTTTTTTGAAGAAAGTTGATATTTGCGGTTTGAAGGAACTGCGAAAATCAGCTCGTTTATTATGTTTTTGAAAATTGCTTGAAAGCTCAACATAGATAACCGCTGTTTCAAACTGAGATATCGTCAAACATCTTCTACGAAATGAAAAAGAAGCACTTACACAAAATATTGACTGAAAAAAAAAAAGGAAAATATAGTTTTCGAAGAGAAAAACATTCGTATTTTTCTATATTCTAATGTTTCAAAGTTATTTTCTACGAGTAAAGTTCTTGTAGGTCACTGAAGTTAAAATCATATCAAAACTTCAAGATAAATCGAACAATTCTTTTGATACATTTTAACATCATGTTATGTCATTAACAAAAATAATAGAATAGAAAGAAGATTGAGTTGATAATAAAGATACATCTTTACATTTATCAACATGGTTATTCATTGCATTCAAATGCAAAGAATTTTATAATATTTCTCCTTGTATTTCACATAACTCATACCAAAACGAAAAAAATTTATCGAGAAACGTCATGAACTTTCTTTCTTAACGAATCGATAACAAAACTCAGGTGCTTCTACCATAGATATGAATTCGACAAAATAATAATTCATTTCCATGTATTTCATTTAATGAAATGAATAAATGCTTTCAAAACTTGTTATTAACCTTCTTCGTGTTTTACTTAAAATGTACAATACTTAACATTAGCAAGAAATAAATCTTGATAGAACCTTTTTCGTTAGTGTCAATTGTGCAAAGCATCTGTTTTACCTATTTTGATGTCACCTTTGAGCACATGGAAATATTCGATACTAATTATTCAACACAGTAAAAATTAAAAAAAATTCGTCTCGATTGAAAAGACAAAATAAATTTAGTTAATAATGTAATAATTTTTAATTCATATCTAATTATTTTATTTATGACTCAAATGAAAATCTCTCGTCTTATAATTTAATTAGATGATAATCCTAGTCTTTACTTTCAGGCCAACAGCGACTACTACTAAATGTAAAAAATAAAATTGGTTTTTCATTTAATTTTTTTAATCTTTTTGTTTATTTAGCACAAGAAAACCTATTTCGTGAAAGAA